CCTTTAAGATGCTGGTTGCCTACTGTTGTATGTCCAAGCCACCTAATGTAAGGAACTACCTTAGCTTTTCAATAAGGAGCTCTGCTGTCTTAGGTATTAGATAAAAACACTGTTTGAAGGACTGCAGGATGTCTTCATGGCCTTCTACACTCTCTGTGTGCAGCAGGGGCAGCTGGTTCTTCCAAATGGCAAGATTGACAACTGGTATACTGTACCTCAGGTCCCTATTCCTGTCTTGGGTTCTCCAAACAAATCTCAGTTGAAGCTGATCTTCAGGAAGGAGACAAACCTAGTGGAACATGAACCAAACATCTCCACTGATGGCCAACACATACTAGCAAAAGCGCAAGATGACCCTGATTAACAATGGACCAAGAATTGGGCCTGCAAGGAGCAGTTCGACATGACACATAGTTTGCCATTTTGGTGGATGAGGTAGTACAGTGTAAACCACAATGGATGCCTTTCTCCCATCTGAGCTTAGCAACAATTTTTGGATCTCTGTCTAGAATTATTAGTCCAGAGTGGGGTCCTTTTGTTTTTGTCTCTGTGCTCTACAAAGAAGGAGTATATCTGCCTCTGGTCTAGCCTTGAGCAGTGGTGCACCTTTAGTAAGTAGCAATGGTGTGGCATAAGAGAAGAAAATTGACCTTTGTGTATGCTTTTAATCAAAGCTATCTAAGGGTTTTCTTATACATCATGTCTCACAAAGGATTGTGGGCAACTATACAGCTCATATTAGGACGATCAAATAGCTGGGGGATCCCTATGGTAAATGAACCATTGATAGGAAGCATCCTGCTTCCTAACTGCCAACACTATAACATTTATAATGGATCGGCATCATAAGTGTTGCCAATGATCGACATATGAGCATCAATGAATCAATCAATGAATCAAAGGTTGCATTTTTTTATGAAAGTGGAAATTGTTTTATGTTTTCAAACCGATGCATGAAAGGTCTGAACTAAGCTAATCAGATCTTCCTCTTCTTTTGTGATGTCTAGTAACTTCACAAGTGTGATTTTATCCAAACATTGCTGTTTTGACTTATACAATGTTTAAAAATACTAAAGGGAAAGATACAAACTTAAACTTCCTTAATTCATGCTTTGACTCCCATAGGGGAGTCCAAAGGAGCTTGAGCTAGCTTTATATAATCTGAACAATAGAAAAAGCTCCTTGTCAAAAAATAATTTACTGCAAAAGAGTAGGTTACACACAGAGAAAGGCCCAATACTTTAAAAGAAACTGAATATACAGATTTAAATAAAAAATTTTGCACTCCATTTGAAATCAATTGGAAATAAAGAGTAAAAGAAAACATGTGTAATGGTTGCTTCACGCTCTAGGTCATTTCGCTTAAAAATATTAATATATTGTCTATCACTCTGTCACTGATCATCTACCTTTTGAGTAACCAAAATGCTGCCACACAAGCCCCATGATACATTACTGGACTCCACAAACAAAACAATTTATCTTTTTCCTTTAAATTAATAGTCTGAAACATAAACACTTAAATGTCTGAGATTTTTAATCATGGCTGACATTTACTTTAGCTTTACCAAGCCACTTTGTGACTGCAAGTACATGAGTTTTAGAAGTATAGAATACAATGACAATAAAATAGTCTCTCTGTATGACAGCTACATAGACAACCATGTTCATGATATTTGTTTTATCTAAAGGTTCTGTTTATCTCTATTAATGTTAATGTTCACAACCCCTCAGAAAAAAAACAAAGCCTAAAAATCAAGGTTTTAGACTGGATTAACACTGCCTCCACCTGGTATTTTGGTTGCACTGCTTAATGAGGCGTCTGTTTGGTCATGTAGTTTTACCTCTCAGAATGCTAAGATTCAGCAAAATTAGCAAATTAAAACAAAATCTGACAATAGAAAAAATATCAACATAATCCTTTTTTGTTATAAAAGCAGAGTCTCTGATCTTCAATAGATGTCACGATAGTTATCTGTAGACAATAGACATTACATGACAGAAGTAATCTCACATATATTTCACACATTAAATGTTGACAGTTTAGTTAAAATGATCATCTAATAACAAGGATATGCATGTATAAAGATATTAACTCCTATAGACATAACAAAATAATAGACGTCACATTGGCTCTTGGAGCGCATAAAATACGGTCATCATTCTCCTATGGACATATATTCGCCACTTGTGCTATTTGCAGAAAATGTATTCTATAAGGTTGCCTCAGCACTGTGTGGAATATTTGTATTGTACTTGTCTATTGAAGTCAGAGCTGAGGAGATAACTTTTGACAATTCAGATTGACAAATACTGCTTGTACACTGAAAAAAAAGTGCAACCATTTTTTTTTTCAACTACTTAATCATATTTAGTTACTTTAACAGAATTGTTTCATGTTAGCAGGGTAGGACATAAAACAATTGTTCTAAAGTAACTAAATATGATTAAGTAAATGCCCAAAACGGTTGTATTATTTTTTGTGTATGTCCATCAATGAAATGCAAGTTAATATTAGTAGAATGTTATAAAGTAAAAAGATTTATAAAGTCGCAGTTATTCCTTTACATTGATTAAGACTGATAAAATATCTACCTTAGAAACAACATAAAAAAAACACTGCTATAACATTTCAACATTTCAAGAGAGACGATAGATAGATAGATAGATAGATAGATAGATAGATAGATAGATAGATAGATAGATAGATAGATAGATAGATAGATAGATAGATAGATAGATAGATAGATAGATAGATAGATAGATAGATAGATAGATAGATAGATAGATAGATAGATAGATAGATAGATAGATAGATAGATAGATAGATAGATAGATAGATAGATAGATAGATAGATAGATAGATAAATTTTAAAATATATTGAGTTGGAAAATAGAAAAATAAGGTCTACATAAAAACATTGCTGAAAGGCTGTCGGTGTTATTTTTCTTAAAATGCAATTAGCTGTGTGTTCTGCAAAATACAGTATACATATTAAATCATAATGTTGCATTATTTTTAACCACACTAAAATGTTGAGACACATTGAAACATGCTTTATCAACCATATTCATACAGTAAGAAATGCAGCAAGTTACGATCGATTAAAAACGCTGATGCTTAATTGATCTTACCATACTGTATGTAATTACCTTGAGTGGAGCTGTCACCCTCTATTTATATATACTGTACATGTATATGTCCACAACAATGACAAACATTTGTAATGGCTTGGTGCTTTAATATTACTCATGCAGATCTTCCATACAGTGTCAACAGATTAGTAATTGGCAGGCAAATAAAAGATATTACACATGCCATTTTCGATCAGAAGTGAGTTTCTACCTTAGTTTGTGTTGTTTGTTTATTTGTTTCCATGTCAGTTGAACTAAAGATATATATGTATTTGCATCTTTATTTACCTTTTTAATGAAAAGAAACGTGTTTTCTTTAAAAGATTTGAAATTTCTACTTGTTTTTTCTGCTGACCAGTGTTTTTTTTATTTTTCAACATAGCAAGGATAGCATCAGTCATCCATCCATTTTCTCCCACTTATTCCATCAGGGTCACCAATGGGGCTGGTGCCTATCTCCAGCAGTCTAAGGGTGAGAGGCGGGAGACATCCTGGACAGGTCAGTCTGTCACAGGGAAACACAGAGACACACAAAGACATAAAATCATGCACACACACACACACCTAAAGACAGTTTAGTGATGCTAACTATCCTAACAGTCCTGTTTTGGATTATGTTTGAACTGTGGGAGGAAGCCAGAGTACCCGTAGAGAACCCACACATGCACGGAGAGAACACGCAAACTCTATTCAGAAAGACCTCAGGCCAGGAATCAAACCCAGAACCTTCTTGCTGCAAGGCAACAGTGCTACAAGCTGCACCTCCTTGCAGCCTGAGTGCCCAGCTTTGCAAATAAATTGTTTAAGTTGTTGGCAAAACAAACCATTTTCATTTGCAGTCCTGACATGGTCCTTAAACTAATAATTCATGCAGTGCTCCACAATAGTTTTTTTTCATCCCTCTGTGACTAACAGCAAAGCAAGGCTGTTCTTCAGGGGCACAGGTGAACAACAGCCTCAATGCTGTAGAGCATTACTCCCCAGGTGCCCGTCTACTTTAACTGTATGTTATAAAAGTATTTAGAATACTAATAACTTGTTTGTCCAAAAGTATCAGACAACCTTGAAAATAAATATTGATTTAACAAAAATATGCAATATATGCTATAATATTTGTTTTGTAGAATTTATAATTCTGCGATGGACTGGCGACCTGTTCAGGGTGCACCCCGCCTCTCGCCTGTAGACAGCTGGACATAGGCACTAGCATCCTGTGCGACTACTACTTGGATAAAGAGTGACGGAAAATGGATGGATGAATGGAATTTATAATATGAAAATTATAAACTGGTTGCCATGACAACAACATTTCTAAATAAAACTGCTTGTGTGAATGTGATAAATAATTTTTTGGGTAGATATTGGCAAAATATGTGGGCAAATGTTTCTATGTCTTCATGTTTACAAATTACAGATAAAAGAGAAATTTAAAAGTGGAGATATTAAGTAGTTCTATGGAAGAAAGTGAGGGATGAAAAGTTATAAAAAAGACTCAGATTTGAGGAGAGAAGAATGATAGAGAGACTAAGAGGGTCACTGGTAAAGGAAACCATTAAAAGGCAAAAGCTGAAGAAATGAGTGGGAATTAGAAATTGACATTATATTGAGATACTATCTTATTATAATGAGATACTATCTTATTATAATGAGATACTATATTATTATATTGAGATACTATCTCATTATAATGAGATAAAAAAAAAATTAACAGAGTGGCGGAAACGGGCTTCCATTACTAACAATACAAAAAAGAAAAGAAAAAAAATCGTTTTCTAAGTAATAAATGTTATTGAAAAAGCACCAGAAGCTTTGTGGTTGCTGTTTAAGAAGCAGACTAGACGTGACGTCATTACGTACAACGTGACGCCTCGGAAAGGATAAACAAAAAGGAAGGAAGCCTTCGGCTAGACAATCGCGGCAAAATCGGTTCAAATTTTACCTCGGTAGCTTAACGTTTACACTGCATGCACCTTTTAGTCGCTTAAACTGGTACCCATAAAACCTTCACCATCATGGACGACTCTTTGCTGTTTCGCATGAGTGCATTTTCGGATCAAGGGGGGAGAAAATACATGGAGGATGTTATCGAGATCAGAATTGAGTACGAGCCCACAGCGTCAACAGACGAAGGTTATTTCAAATCGCAGAGACATGGAGGGCAAACGAAGAGCGGAGCTTTTCCACAGACTGTTACCGAACCACATGGGTTCAACAGATTAGGTCCAGCGACTGCAGCGTGGGTAGAGAGCTTATCAGATGAGGACATTTGTAGCATCGGCACCCCGGCAACGGGCGACAAGAACTCAGCAGAGCATGTTGTTGTTGACACGCGGAGATCCGTGGCGTTTTTTGCCGTGTTTGACGGCCACGGGGGCCGCGAAGCTGCGCATTTCGCCAGCGAGCATTTATGGGATCTGCTGAAGAGGCAGCGGGGCTTCTGGTCCAAGGATCACAGCGAGGTATGCGCCGCTCTACGGAAAGGTTTCATCGCCTGCCATCAAGCAATGTGGAAGGAGCTGCGTAAGTCATCAAATAATGAGAGTTTGAAGTATATTTCTCTCAATATTTACCACACCTTTCAAGTCTGAGCGTCATAATGATGTCACGTGCTGCAGCATTATGCACAGCTTCATCTGGAGATGGATCAGTGGGATGTTTTTTTCCTGCACTACACTGAAGTCTCACTTTCACTTGTCAAAATTGATTTAATGTGTCTGGAACAGCCCCCTTTATTCTAATACCCATAAATAAAATCCAATGCATCCAATTGCCATCAGAGGTTGCCTGTTGTAGAAAGATGTATGCAATCGAATCTTAGTAAAGGCCACATGAACAGCTTTGAACAAATTAAAAATCACCATTAAACCCATCATTTGAAGCTGAAAAAGTGTGGCCCATCTGCAAAACTTGTTGAAATGCTGTTGCTTCCCTAGACTGTCAGAATTGGTATGCATTCCCATGCCGGATTTGGACGAGCTGCAGAGATCCACAGCCCAGGTGGAAGAACCTGACAACAGCCCAAACTTTTTACCATGCACTCCACAAATCTGCCATTAAAGAACAGATTTGCAGACTGTGTAGATTTAAATTTCTTATAAATCGCAGTTTCCTTTTGGGACTGAAAACCTCTCAAAGTCTGCAAAAAACGTAGAACTTGTCAGAGATTTTAATTTCCAGCTAGAAAGCATGTCAAACTCAACTCCCATTATGTAAGAAAATTCCAAGTTGAATTGAATAGTTTTAAAAGGCTCTGTGTTTGTTGATAAGGTGGAATAATTCTATTCAGTTTATTTATATAGGGCCGTTCCCTAGATCATACAGTCAAATTGATTCAAAGTTTTCTATCTAAGGAAAACCAATTGATTGCATTGACTCAAAGGCAATCCCTCACACTAAGCATGCTTGTAGCGACAGTGGAGAGGAAAACCCCCCTTTTAACAGGAAGAAACCTCCAACAGAACCAAAGTTATAAATCAAGGAAGTTCAACCTGACTTCTACTTGTTATCAGTATTTAGTCCCTTCTAGTACTCATCGAGTCTTATTAAAATCCTATATATATATATTTTTTTTTACTTTATAGTGCCTTGTCTTTGACTGCAATAACCCATCGCTTTTTATTTACTTACCTTTTCCTTTACAGCAGAGTGGCCGAAAACAATAACAGGCCTGCCCAGTACATCCGGCACCACGGCTAGCGTCATTGTGATCCGGGGAGTTCACATGTACGTTGCTCATGTCGGAGACTCAGCGGTAGTAGTTGGAGTGAAAGAAGAGCACTCTGACATCACGCTCCAGGCTCTTGAAATAACACAAGACCATAAACCTGAACTGCCAAAAGAGAAAGAAAGGATTGAGCGACTGGGTGGCAGGTGAGTCTAATGGAGAACTTTGAGAAATTGGTCTATATGTCTTCAGCGTTTCCACGGAAGAATAAAAATTGTACAGTTAGAAAAAGGAAAATTATGTTTGAGGTCATGTTGCATCTTTTTAATCAAAGCGTAATGAAGAAATCTGGGGTTAATCGTGTTGTGTGGAAGAGGCCCAGGCTGACTCATAACGGCCCCGTGAGGAGGAGTACTGTCATAGACCAGATCCCGTTCCTCGCAGTAGCTCGATCCCTTGGTAAAGGTTTTTTTTTTTTTTGGTTAAATTCTTCAACGACATCACATGAAAAAGTCAAACTGATGATATGTTATTGCCTTTGAACAGGTGACCTGTGGAGCTACGACTTCTACAGTGGAGAGTTTGTCGTTTCTCCAGAACCTGATACCACCGTGATGACCCTCGATCCTAAACGGCATCGCTACATCATTCTCGGCAGCGACGGGCTGTGGAACATGATGCCACCCAAGAACGCTGTGAATATGTGTTACAGCCATGACAAAATGGCAGTATGTAATGCACTTTATTTTCCATTTACATCGTTTTTGAGATGTCTAGTGTTTGCTGGATTATTTTGGTAAGAAACTGTTGCCATGTCAACAAAAAAAAAACTTCTCATTAGCTTCTTTTGTTGTAATTTTTAAAGGGACCAAAGGGAATGTCTTGCGCCAGGAGGCTGGGATGCACGGCCTTATTGTTTTGGAAAGAGCGCATGCTCCGAGCGGACAACACAACCGTCATCGTCCTGGCCCTGCAGGAACGCGGGGGGGCGCCCATTCCCATGCATCGAGATGAGATCGTCGTTGACATGGCGACGGGTATTGACCAAATTCCATACCCTGGAACGCCATATAACACATGCGAGATCCAAAAGGTAAGATTCGATGATTTGTTACATTGTTTTTATGATTTCTAACTGGCACAAACAAGATCAGACAAGTAGTGAAATTAGATATTCCTGATGCAGAGCTGCTGCTTCGACTGCAGAGAACTTTTCTGTCCATCATTATCTGTTTGTTTTTGATTATTTTCAGTATTCCTTTATACATCTCAGTTCATTGCCCTCTGTATACAGCTTCCACCTGTTAAACTACATTGAAATATTAATGCCACAAGCTGCTGATTAAAGATAACAATAGCCTTTCAAATGAAGAAGGGTCAGTGGTTCACCAAATCTTTGTTTTCGGGGCCAACAGGCGGAGCATGAGGATGGCATGTTTTATGAAGAAGATGAGATATATGAAGAAGAACATGAGGGATGGACATGCCTGGATTGGTAGTGAGGTGACTGCTCAGCAATGAATATGTGTTAAATAACAAGCATAATTATCAGCCAATCTATGAGCTCAAGATCTAAGACGAGTTTGTTTAATTTAGTGGCAAACTTTAATGAAGTCAAATAGAGATACAGAATGAGTTGTAGATCAGTTATCCATAAAAGCTTTTCCAGTTTCATAAAGGCTTTTTTTCATATTCTTCATGTGAAACATTTATTTAAACCTTTTATCCTCTTATTTGTCTGTCTCCACTGATTACTCAACACTTCTATTGTTCCTTTTTATTTTATAATTTTTTTTAGTCCATATTATCACTTGGTTTTAAAATTTGTTCAAAATTAGTTCAATATTTCTCCTTCCAATTGTTTAAAACCTTTGTCGTGCAGTATCACTTTTCTTTTTTTGTTTGGGTTAATCAATAAAAGTGAGAAATCCATTAAAGGTTGGATTTACAGCACTTTGTCAAAGTGTTTGTAAAGTTTTCTCATTATACCACCTCAAACCTCTGGGTATTTTAGTGGGACCTCATGGGATACTACAATAGAAAGTAGTGAATAATCTAAATAGTGTGCTTTTAATGCATATTTCATCCTCCCTGATGAGTCACAGTCATGTCTTTAATAATAATTAAACTTTATTGATCTCATTTTGGAGAAATTCACCTCTGCACCAAACCCATCCCCTTGGGGTGCAGTGGGCTGACATTTTTTTTTTTTTTTGCGGCGCCCGGGGAGCAATGAGGGGTTAAGGGTCTTGCTCAGTGACCCAGAGTGGCAGTCTGTGGGAACCGAACTCAGAACTTTAGGATTCCAAGCTCTATGCCCTAACCACTAGTCCGCCACTCTTTTAGGGTATGTATTGATCAGCTTTGCTGAAAGAGTTTCAAGAGGATTGAATACTTTAAAAGGCACTGTAGAATAATTAAAGGAACAACATTTCATTAACTGATAACATTTTCTTTTTGCTGCTTTGCTTATTTTCAGCCAAGTGGTCCACAGGAATCCCCCTCCCCATTTACGGAAAGTTCCCAAACACTAGAACAGGCCTTTGGTCTGTATGAGGCAGCTTTCTGCGCCACTACGCAGCTCCTACCTGACGCCAGCTCCCCGCTGCATCCTGCAGATCTTTCCTCAGATGTTTTCGAAAAGCAAGACCCATCCAGCACCCATATGGACTCAGACTGTTCTGCTCCTCCCTCAAAAATGCCCTGCCGATCCTGTCCCAGGCCGCCTGACTTTAAAGGTGCTAATACTCGGCTTGGCGGGCTTCCAAACAAAGGCAGCTCACTGAAGAAACTTCAGGGCAAAGCAGACAGTGAACAATCCCTTCAGTCTAATGACGCCAAATCGGGCACTTCTGAGGACGGTGGCATTCGGCCGCAGCACACCTCTACCCTGTGCGTGTGCTGAATCTTTTTCATAAAATCTGCACACCATTTATTAGATGTATACTTTTATAAAAAGTCTTTATTTGTGGGTAAATATGGAAGACAGAGGTCTTGTAAATGTGTTAATGTTCTGATTCCCCTCCTTTTCAGGATGTCCTTTTAAAGGTATAATCTTTTAAATTCTTAATTTCATGCTCTTAAGTATGTACAGTGAAACTGTATTTTAAACAAAACACATTAATTTAAATTTCCTTAACAGTATTTAGGCACATACTTCCATTACTACATTTTTACCAAAAGAAATTAACTTTAGGTTTAACTTTATTCAAAGGAAATGCTGAGAGTTTGGTCAGCGGTTAATACCTCCGATCAGCTATTTACATCATGGAGAGTTGCTATTTTGTTTGGTAAATAGATGAGCTTATCTGTTGTATTTGCAGCACAGACATTGGTCTGAGTTGCATTATGCAGGTCTAATTAAAACTTGCTTTATATTTTATGTTTGTAGTTATGACGAGTATGGCCACGGTTTTCCTTCAACTCAATTTTTTCCTATTTTAAGCTGTGGTCAGAAGACAGCATTACATGTTTTTGTCATTTACGTGAACATATTTGTAACATTCTAAGCATCTTGATTTCATAAGTTGTCAGGGCTTAGAAATATTGTTTATTTTTTTGGACGTCACTAACATGTCATCTGTTTAAGATTTAGTGGCAATAAATCTTGGCTTTATCCAGCATCACTATATAGTGTAAGTTAATACCAGTTCCAGATACGCTACACTCCAGCTTGGTTTTCTTTCTTTTTCTTGTTCTGTGTACCCATCACCTTGCAGATGAGATACTTTGCTCCTCATGTTAAAGTCCCAAGTTGTGTTACTATGGCAGCTGGGCTACTAAGCTAAATACATATTTGCCTTTATTTTGCATAAACTGTCATTGTTGCCTTAGCACAAATTAGTTTTGTCGGTGTTGTGTTTGAGATCCAAAACCAGGTTGTGAAGTGTAGCCGTGCGTCTCAGCCCATCATCTGCATCCTTTTACTGTTCAGTGTGTTTATTATGGTTCAGCTCCTCAGAGCTCCCTTTTTCTGTACGGTGGGTAAATATGCAACATGGGTTTGTACAATACTATAATATGCAACCTGTGGGGATTTTCAGGAGTTTGGCATGCTCACATCTATGCTGTATTTTGTGACCTGTGTGTGAGTGTCAGGAGTAACGAGTGTTAAAATGCATGTTAATGGATGTGTTTGGAAAATACCAATCATTTTGGTCTCGCTTTATATTTACTGTTGCCGATTTCCATGTTTGCGGTTTACATTGCAGCATTTAAAAGTGATGACATATAGAAAATGTCTGTGTTCTAATAAAGTTCTTGTTTTTTACAATGGTGCAACAGTGACTACTTTGTCATGAAAAAGATATCCAGATATAAAGAGCCATTATCGGGAGTATTTTTACTGTTTTATTTAATAATTCTTTTTGTAGATAATCTAGATGATGCTGCTGTGGCTTGTTGAGGAAGACTGGTCTAGTCATTCAAATTAAGGTTTATTTTTATTTTTTTTTTTCATTTTCTGAGCCCCTTTGTTCATACAGACAGATACTGTCTGACAAGAATTTCTAGAAGGGAAAAGCTGTTGTTCATGAAGTTTTGACTATTTCCAGAAGATGGCACCAAAGTAAAGGCTTTAATTCTTGCACCAGATTTGAGCCAATAGGTTCCTCCAAAATTAAAAAAAGACAATGGAAATGAACATATTATATGTTCTTTCTTATGTATTTACCTGCCTACGGACTACGGATGAAAACTAGCTTTGTTGCTATAATCTGGCATATTTACATTTGTTTTTATACTGATGTTCATTAATGTGCTTTGTCCCTATTCAAATAAATAAATAAAATAACAGTTTTGGAGGTACATATTGGTAGTTGTTTTAAGAAAAACACATTTAAGAGAATACTTTCTTTAAATTGGTTTTAATCCATCTTCTATTTTCTACTAGCCAAAACATTTTTTCTGAACTTACTTTTAAATGATCCACCAAAGGTTTTACGTCATCTTATCTAACTTTTTCTGCATTTTAGCATATCAAAGGTTTTGCAGGTCCTTGCAAAATAACTGAGGATTCACTTCTGTTATTTATTTATTTTTTTTTTCTCTTTCAGGATTTCAGGAACACAATATTTCATTAACAATATTCTGAATGGTATTTTTCTACGGTTTCTGATCTGAAGCTCCACACCCGTTCATTCATAATAATGTAAAACTGCTTCACTGGAATCTTATTTAGCATGTAGTTATATAGAGTAAACTATACAGATACATACTTTTTTTTTTACAAATTAATTAGCATTCAGGTGTGTACAGCTGCCCTTTCTCTGCTACCACAAAATAAAAAAAATAAAAATCACTTTTGAATTGCGTCTGGGGGTAATTTAATGTCGGTATAAATATGTAGATCTTAAATGTTTGTTAGAGAACATTATTGAATTATCCATCATGAAGACCATATAATCCAGCAGAGAGGTCAGGGAATGGAGGATCAAAGGCAGTTTAAAGTTTATAAATCATTATCCTTCATGGAGAATCCATAATTCAAATTGAGAAGCTGAGACATGACTCTCCGTCTAAACCAACAGACAAGGTAGGGAAAACAGTACTTAGAGAAGCAGGGAATGTTTGGAGGGTGTCTGCAATAGTTTCATACAAAGAATGTGCTTAGAATCACCTTGTCCTTTCACAGCTTAAGCTATTTTTCAAAGAAGAAAGAAGTAAAGGTTTTATTCTCTAGATGTGCAAAACTTTCAAAAGACTTTCTGGTGTTACTAAATAAACATACTTGGATTCATCATTTCCTCTTCACCAAGAAATCCCTGCCACTTTGCAAAACAGTTTAGTTCCAATGTACATCAGGCTTAGCAATGTGATAGGAATGTAGAAACCCCCATTTAAAAAACTATAAAATGTTCATTATTTTCACAAAGGTCTTCTGCAGGTCAAAGAGTTGGTTTGATTCTCTTTACTACTGTATCCTCTACAACTGCAGTGATTCCCAAACAAGTACTCATATCTCTGGTGATCCTTGAGTGCATTGCAAGGGGTAAATAAAAAAATTTTTTTTTTTTTGGTAGTAAGATAAGATAGGTCTGGGGTCTGTTTTGCTTTCTAAGGAACCAATTGCAAAATTAAACAAGCTTTTATCAACCAAAAAGCAAAATGTTCTTATATGTTTGAGTTCACCTTCAGCTTCGACACACATCCAAACCAAGCAGAGGAACAGACCCGATGTAGAGAACAGCCTGGGATCAGCTGCTTTTCACACTGAGCTTATTAAAACAAGCTCAGGTGTCTTGATAAAAACAAAGGAAAACTATATAGAAGTCAGTCTGTCTATAATTTTGTTCTGTATTTTGTCCCCAATTCATGAAGTTGAAATGTGATTATAGGGTAGTTACTCAGAGGAGCTCCAGATTCATTCATTGATTCATTTATAAATAGAAAGTTACTTTATTAATCCCCAATAGGGCAATTCACCTCCCCTAAATAATATATAAAAAAACTCAGTCCTTCAAGGGGCATTAAACTACCTAATGGTGGCTGAGACACAAGATCTTCTGTATCTTTCTGTTCTCCTTACAGAGATCAGTCTCAGAATAATCTTTATTTCAGTTATTGTACATTCTACTTTTGGAAAATCATCAATACTTTTGACTGAGAGGGGAACTCATGGCAAGAAAAAATGGCGAAAGGGGAAGACAAGTCAAAAAAGGGTAAGGAACTACTGTATCCATTCAATATAGATGATGAAAATATATATATATATATATATATATATATATATATATATATATATATATATATATATATATATATATATATACATATAAAATAATATAAACAGGAACTATATTTCCTAAAAACATCAAACCATGCATAACACTTTCCAAAGATGACATTTGCATTGAAAGTTCTTCTTTCATACTAAATGTTATTGTGCTTTATGGCGCATGTCATTACGTTGGTTCTGTTTAAGTTTTCTCTTTGAGTTTTCATTAGTTTTAGTTCCATTTTGTGATATTATGTTTTTGATTTTATTTGACTGTTTAGGAATGTCTTGTTTACTCTCTGTTGTCCTCATGTGTCAGTCTCCTTTCCCCAAGATCCCTTCTAGATTCCTCTGTCCACACCTGCTCCTGATCTGCTCATTAGCCTGGTCTTTGTTTCTGTCTCCCATATAAAAACCTCTTTTTCAGGCACTGTTTGCTGGTTTATTGTAATTTATTTGCCCTTCTTGTGAGTAGTCCTGGTTTTCAGTATTTTGTGAATTTTGTAGGTTTTTGGATTTTTTTTCTTCTGTTGCCAATCTGCAAGAAACCATCTTCAGCTTCAGTCTCTGCATTTCAGTACTATCAAACCTCCACCCAACCTGACTGCCCAGAGGTGGATGGTAACTATTCACATTTACTCAGTTACATTTACTTGTGTAACATTTTGAAACAAATTAAACCTTTTGGGATGGTTACTGCAAGAGTGTTTGGATCTTCCCCACTATTAGTAACTTAACTTAAAAAAAAAATAAATAAATAAATAAATAAAATCACCTAAAAAGCAGTAGTCATAGACAAAGTTCAATTAAAATTATTTACCTTTTGTAAAAAAATGCTTGATGTTTTAATGTTTCTTTGATCTGCTGACACATCTATGACATGGAGGTCAGAGCAATATACAGTAAAATATCTATTTTCAGTAGAGTTGGTTTACCCTGTTCTATCATGCATGCATCATAAATTAAAGGGGGGAAAAAAAATAATTCATACCCACCTCTGTTCACGCCTGGTGTCTTTATCCCTTATATCATTTGCATTTCTGTCAAAGATCCGAGGATAACATTAGCTATATGATGGCAGTGTCTTGACCTAAATATTTGACTGTGACTCTGTCACCCCATATAAATCAGTGCGGCTTAAAAACATGATGACCTGCTGTCCTTAACCTCCCTGTCTTTAAAAAAAACTGTAACCAGATAAGACGGAGATTGGATCATAGATTTAAATTCCTAACATCTCCAAATACAGTAGTACACTGTATTTTGAGACACTAGCAATAGACATGTGCGAAAAATCTTAAAGTTAATCAACAAAATGTCAAGGTGGGGCAGTGTGTAGCACTGTGGCAAGCCTGTGGGTTTCAATTCCCGGCCCAAGTACTGTTACACTTACATCATACTCAATTGCAAGTGAAAGTACTGCTGTTAAAAAGCACATACGTAAAAGTAAAAGGTGCTCCTCTTAAAAACTACTCAGTACTAATTACTTTTTAACTGGTGAGTGTTTTATTGCAGCAACACAGCACCACATTTGGCATTTGCTGAATAAAGACAGGTGAACTTTGGCAGTATTGTGATGAAAAAATTAAATGTTGAAGTTTTATAAGCAGATATGATTGTAGCATTCCAACAGAATTTGCTCTGCATCTGGACGCTGTCTCCTTTTTTCCATCTGTACAGCCACGGGTTCTCGTACTTGTTCTCCCTCTGTACCTAATCATTTTAAAGTATCGGATTGTGTATCAATTATTGGTTTACTTGCACAGCTTCTTTGGTTCACTCTTTTATGTCACCTCCAGAAGCCCGCAGTTACAGGCTTCTGGAGTTTACTCAATTACAGTAATGTAATTGTTATCTGATCCTTCCACCTCTGGTTTTTACTTGTATTGTTATGCGTTATCATGTGAAGGCAAGGCAAGGCAAGGCAAATTTATTTGTATAGCACAATTCAGTACAAAGACAATGCAAAGTGCTTTACATGATTAAAATACAGGAAGATAAAACAGAATCAAAGCAAGTAGGAAAAAATAAAAAATAAATAAAATAAAAAATGCAGAAACAAAAAAGAATATTAAAAACAGTTGGACTAAAGAAAATAAAAAAGTTGAACTAATGATGTTTTAGTTGAACTGTTTAACTAGAACAGTGGAAGGCAATCCTAAACAAATGTGTTTTTAGTCTTGATTTAAAGGAACTCAGGCTTTCCGCACTTTTACAGTTTTCTGGAAGTTTGTTCCAGATAAGTGGAGCATAGGAACTAAATGCTGCTTCTCCATGTTTAGTTGTGGTTCTAGGTATGCAGAGCAGGCTGGAGCCAGAAGACCTGAGTGGTCTGGAGGGTTGATACACTGATAGCAAGTCTGTGATGTATTTAGGTGCTAAGCCATTCAGAGATTTATAGACTAACAGAAGTATTTTAAAGTCTATTCTCTGAGATACAGGGAGCCAGTTTAAAGACTTTAGAACTGGGGGGATGTGCTCTACTTTCTTAGTCTTAGTGAGCACACGGGCAGCAGCATTCTGGATCAGCTGCAGCTGTCTGATCCACTTTTTAGGCA